CTTCTTCACTTAAAGCAAGCAGGCCATCTAACACGTCCATGGTGTTACCACCGGGTTTCCTGTTCTCCAATCTTTCCCTGACCAGAGCATGAAAAATGTCAAGCATCTTGCGAAAAAGAACAGTCATACGACGCCTAACACCCTGTGGATCAAACTTCCTAAGCACGGGGAAGAAATCAACCAAGTTAGGCCCACCGACTTCCGCCGAGAAATCCGACATAACTGTTTTGAATTCTTTCGCGGAATCAGCCGAAGGGTGGGTCAAATCTACCGAGAAGAAGATATTAGACAGAGTGTTAAGGGAAGTTGTGAAGGCAGCTTGCCTCATATCCACTGCCTCCCCTGATTCACAACTGATTTTGCAGTATTCAATTAGGTCTTCTACCTTTTTAGACCTGAGTTTCTGATTGGCATCGAGTCGGCTGGCTGAGAAGATGTAAGAATTCATGATTCTGCGGAGTTTAATCCTCAATTTGGAGGCACTGGGCAACCAAGGAGCGGAATACTTGTAATAATCATTCGCATGAAGCGAATCAGGCACTGCTCTGTTGGAGAAATCCGAATCTTGTTTTTGGAGGACTTCTTTTGCTGCTTCTGAAGAAGAAATCACCATAGCTGTTACCTGCCCCAGCTTTAGACCCATAACAGGCCCGTAAACTTCGGCGAGTTTTGCTAGTGACTTGTGAGGAAGTTCGCTTATTAAATGGAGGTTTCCGATGATTGGCAACGGCGTCGGCCCCGGAGGAAGATTCTTGCGTCTTCTTGATGCAATAGATAGGATCCATATCAAAGACCATGAAAAGACAGCCCAGAGAATGATCATGAAGGGGTCCATTTTTCCTTCCTCTGATCAGACAGTATGAGCCAGAAGTCAGAAAAGTGGAGAGATTGATTAGTATATGCTTCACTTCGGAGTTGCCAAATCTTTTGAATATATCTATATACACCAGCTCCTTCTGGCCAAAATAATTATCTACTTGTTATAGCAAATTTTTCTTTTCATACTTGTTATAGCATTTTTAATATAATAAACGGAACAATCATATTACTATAAGACCAAATATATATATATATATATATATATATTTAACTTTAAAAATTGCATCGAAGATGGATAAACCTATATTTCTTTGTTCAAAAATTTAGGTTCGACAAAATACTAGTAGTTCTATTATGATGGAACGTAAAATCAATCAGTGTCCTGACAGTCCTCATTTTTCTTTCCTTTATCTTCTTCTAACACAAATAATTTCGTCTAAGACATGGTTAGTAACTTAGTATGATTAATAGACAATTTTCTACAGATATGAAAGTTACGCAAGACACCGGAAGAAATTCATCACCAACATGAAAACATCTCCAATTTCTATTTATAAATTATTGTGAACGGGTTGCGTGTGTCATGACCCCATATCGTGAACAAATGGAGAAAAAAAGAAAAAGAAAATAAATTTAAAAAATTGTGAACAGCCATGTGTAGCTTTCAAGAAAAAATACAAAAAATCATTGATTGTCGCTAGCTCAAGTTGTCGTTGTAAGTTATAATTAACTTGCGGCATATTACATATTGTGACGTGTGTTCCAGGTAAAACACACGTCACAACATGTAATATGTCGCAAGTTAAAAGATTTGATGTTCATCGTCAATTATAATGATTAGTTCATTTCTTAAATTAAAATAAGTATTTAGAAAGGAATAAGATCATGTGATTATTACATTCGTTCCGTATCTTTTTATGAGGTAAAATATTTAATTTTATAAATTATTAAAATTCATTTCGCATTTTGGAATTTTCCGACAATGGTTGGGGAACAGAAATTTGAATTGTATATTGGAATCTATAGCGTTATATTAGGAGAGAAACCAGAGAGAAGAAATCAAACTTCTCCTCCAGTTGACACATAGGACAAAATTCTATGTGTCATTTTCCTATAGGTTGACGCAAAAAATATATCCAACAATTACACTAATAGTCCTTTGGATTTTTAATTAAAAAATTGTTATCATTCTTAATTATAGTCTACTAATTAATTATGTGGTAAACTTTCTATTTTGCATTCCCTAAAATTAAAAAGAAAATAGAAAATTTTTAAAATCTCAACATTAAATAAAATTGATTTGAAAAAGATTATCTCATTGGCTTGAATAATGACATTACGTCTTGATTTAATCATTAAATAATATTAATAATTATTTGGAATTCAAAAATAAAAAAAAAACCAAATCATCAATGATTCTTTAATTCAACATTAAAAGTGATTGATTTGAAAAATTTTTCCGATTGACTTGAATAATATCATTACATATTGGTTTGATCATTAAACAATATTAATGTGTTTTTTGAAATTCGAAAATAATTAATACGAAATTGGAAGTGATTCTTTAATTATGAAATCTCGGTAGAACTGATCCCCTAAAATTGATATACCAGCCATTAATCATCAATAGTGAAAAATCACTCTATAAAAATATTATATATACTGACAGAAAACCCATAATCCGCATGCACAATATAAAAAAACTTCCATTCCTTTCCTTCATTGGTATAAACCTCAAGCTCCTCGATCAATGTCAACCTCCAGAAGAAAGGTTTTTTTTTTCATCTTTATTTGTATCTTTTTTCATTTTTTATTTTTTATTTTTTTGTTCAATGCAACTATGCACAGGTGAGGAAAAATAAATAAAACAAATAAGTTGAAGGGATACCAAGATGAATGAAAGTTTGTGTTTCCTTTATTCTATTGGTCACGTTTTAGTCCGATATGATGCCGAATTGTAGGAACTTTTAATCCAATATGAAGTCAAGAACGAAAGTAGCTAAACATCGGTGGTGAAGATGACGCGGAAGAGTGATTTCCCTCAACATTTCAGCATGCAAATCATTATTATCTTTTCTTATAATTCTTATACTATCTCTTCTTTACTCGATTAATATTCATAATTGTTGTACTATTATATTTTCTCATAAAAATTTTTAATGATATTTCAATGCATAATATTATATTATACAAGTACAATTCAATATTTACCTTTTTTAACTATGTATGTATAATTAATATTCATATGATTCTATTTCGCCACTCTAATTTCACAAATTTTATATTTTTTTAAATATTTTAACAGTAAATATATATATATATATATAAATCCTGCACATCGTACGGGTAACATCTAGTTATAATTATAGATAATGTTTATTGGCAATTACTATCATTGTCACCTCTTCACTACTGCCGGTTAACAATTTGCAGTTTCACTTTTTTAACTTGTCTTTCCTGCGATGTATGATTCACATTAATATGGCCAATATAAACTGTTCTCAAGTCATCAAGTGAATGGTACTCTTTACAAGTGAACCTGTTTACTTCGACGAATACCTAGAGAAATTATTTCAGATGTCAACTATCGCCCTGACGGCTTCAACGAAAAATCTAGAGAAATTAAAGAGCCCTAGCTTATGCTTGGTTTAAGATTAATTAAGCGTAGATTGTGAAAGTTGCTCCATCGTCGCTGCAAAATAGTCAATCTTTCTTATTATAAAGTTTTATTTAACAATTTAATTATTTTTTTTAGACGAAGTTAGTAGAGTCCAAAAAAGGAATCTCTTATCTTCATGTTTCTGATCGTATTTGCATAAGCATACGAATATAAGCTAATCAACTTATAGAAGAACATGAATTGAGAATGACACGTTAGTTTCTTTCAATGAAATTGAGATATGATAAATTGGATGACAATTCGGCACATCAGGAGGGAATCTAATGAAATTGTATATTATCTCGGTCAATCCATCAGAGTTCCCTTCCTCTTCCTGACTCTATTTGGAAAAAAAAACACAGAAAAACAGCATTATCAACCATGTGAAGCCAACAAGGTTGTTCAAGAGGAAGTGGGCATAGCATCAAAATCTGAGGAACCAAGAGATCTCAGGTTCAAACCCCGTTAATAACATATTTGTGTGTTGAGTTGTGTATGTTATCTTGCCCTCTCCAGAAAGGCTTTCCGAGTACCAGATCGAGGCGTGCACGTGTGAAGTCTCCCTCTTAGTAGTACTACCCCCTTCCCTATAGGCCTTACTTTACATGTAATGGACTAGGTGCTTGTAATTGTGTATATATAAAAAAAAAAAAAAAACCATGTGAAACTTTCAGTTTCAGTAGATCGTATCTCTGACATCAATTGGGACAGCTCGCAGGGGTTGTGACTTCTGCAATGTGATGCCAAACTTCTCCCCCATGTCCAACTCATCTGGCATAATTCCGCCTTCAAGTTCCCAATCAAACATATTCAGCAATAAACCCAATACCACAGGGATAGTCCGTAATGCCAATGACATTCCTGGACAAATTCTTCGTCCAGCTCCGAAAGGGATCAGCTCAAAATCCTGTCCCCGAACATCCATTTTGGATTCGACAAACCTCTCAGGCTTAAAAACCAAAGGTTCCTCCCAAATTGTCTCGTCTCGGCCGATCGCCCAAGCATTAACTAGAACTTGTGATCCTTTAGGCACATTGTAGCCGAACAGCTCGACATCTCGCAGCACCGCGCGGGGAAGCAACAGCGGTACGGCTGGATGTAATCGTAGAGTTTCTTTCACTACGCATTGCAAATAAGGCAAGCGAACTACATGAATATCCTCTATCTGATTCCCTCTTCCGACTACTTCTCCGAGCTCTGCTTGGACTTTCCGCATGATCCTTGGATTCTTGAGCAACTCTGCCATTACCCACTCCAATGTACTTGAAGTTGTATCCGTTCCCGCGGCAAATAAGTCCTAGGATGCATTTTGATTGATATTATAAGAAAAGAAAATAAAAAATCAGTTTGTAGGAACCTATGTTGGACTTAATTAACCAGCTTAAGCATGGAAAAGTATTCGCCATCAATTCATCAAAAGAGACTAATACACCATGTCTAATTAATTTTGAGTAGTTTCCAACATTTTTAATTTCTTATGAAGATTCCACCCATTGCAGTGTGTTATAGTAGATCTACAAACCTTGGTAAGTGTGAATGGAACTGAATCTAGAGTCAACGAAGAAATATGCAACTCGAAGATAATTCAATTTTTTCGAGTGAAATCAAAAGGAGAAGAATACCAACCAGGAATAAATGCTTGATCAAATCTATGTCAATCTCCTCTGGAGTTTCTTTACTTAAGTGAAGCAGGGTATCTAGCACATCCTTGTTTTCAACTCCAGATTTCCAGCTCTTCAATCTTTCATTGATCAGAACATTGAAAATTTCAAGTAACTTACCAAAATGAACAGTCATACGACGCCTAACACCCTGGGGATCGAACTTCCTAAGCAGGGGGAAGAAATCAACCAGATTAGGCCTACCGGCTTCCGACATGATGTCCCACACAACTGCTTTGAATTCTTTTGCCGAATCAGCCAAAGGGTCGGCCAGATCTTTGGAGAAGAAGATGTTAGACAGAGTGTTCAGTGAAGTTGTAAAGGCAGCTTGGCCGATATCCACCGCCTCCCCTGATCCACAACTCTTCTGGCAGAACCCAATTACCTCCCGAACCTTTTTAGACCTTAGTTGCTGATTACATCTAGTTGGCTGGCTGAGAAGACATAAAAATTAATGATTCTGCGTAAAGTAATTCTCCATTTGGAGGCATTAGGCAACCAGGCGACGGAATATTTGACATGATCTTGTGCGTGAAGCGAATCAGGTACAGCTCTGTTGGAGAAATCCGAATCTTGCTTTTGAAGGACTTCTTTTGCTGCTGCTGAAGAAGAAATCACCACAGCTGTTACCTGCCCCAGCTTTAGACTCATAACAGGGCCATGAACTTTGGCGAGTTTTGCCAGTGACTTGTGGGGGAGTTGGCCTAGTAAATGGAGGTTTCCGATGATCGGCAGCGGTTTCGGTCCGGGAGGAAGATTCTTTCCTCTTCTTGATGCAAGAGAACTGATCCATATCAAAGACAAAGGGAAGACAACCCAAAGAACTACCACGAGGATGCCCATTGATTACTCTGCATCTCAAATCATTTTCTATTAATAATGTGCGTAAGTTTAGCTTTTGTGCATTATAAAATAGATGGGCCTCACTACAAACGAAAGCAAAGCTTAATCTATTAAGCAAACCATCGTTGACTTTGTTTAGGTAAATGAGAAAAGCTACTGTATGATTTGAATAATCATGTGTAGCTTTCTTTATTTCAGTGGGGTCATATCTACGAAACAGCAACAGGGACAGCTCGCAGGGGCAGCGCCTTCTGCAATGTAATGCCAAACTTCTCCTCCGTGTCTAACTCTTCCGGCTTAATGCCGCCTTCATGTTTCCAGTCGAACATATTTAGCAGCGAGCCGAGTACTACCGGGATAGTTCGCATGGCCAACGACATTCCCGGACAGATTCTTCGCCCGGCACCAAAAGGGATCAGCTCAAAATCTTGTCCCCGGACATCCATTTCCGATCCGGCGAATCTCTCAGGATTAAACACCAAAGGGTCTTCCCAAATCGTCTCATCACGGCCAATTGCCCAAGCATTGACTAGAACTTGTGATCCTTTTGGCACGATGTAGCCAAAGAGTTCAACATCTCTCTCCACTTTTCGGGGAATTAAGAATGGTACTGCTGGATGTATCCGGAAAGTTTCTTTCACTACGCATTGCAGGTAAGGCAAGCGAGGAACATCGGTTTCTTCTATATGCTTCCCTCTTCCGACAACCTCTGCAAGCTCCGCTTGGATTTTCCGTAAGATCTGTGGATTTCTTAGCAACTCCGTCATTGCCCACTCTAAAGTACTTGAAGTTGTATCAGTTCCCGCAGCAAATAGGTCCTAGAATGAAGCTAATGTGTCAGGAAAAGGAAGAAAAAAAAAAGCACCAATCAAATTGAAAACTACTATTTGCCGTGAATAGATTCATCAATCCAAATAAACACCGATGTTCAGAAGAAGTTACCAACTGGTTACCATATTCTCATAAATACGTTGTGAAAATTCTACATATTAAACTGGATTGACAACCTACGGTAGCAAAGCAAACTAAGAAAAATTTGACATGGAATCAAGAGTCAACATAGAAATAAGGAGCTAGCTACATTGATCCATGTACTTATAAATATTCCGTTTGCTAGTGAAAGGGAAAAAAAAGAAAAAAAAAAAAAAAAAAAAAACTAACCAAGAACATGTGCTCCATGTAATTTCTTTCCATCTGATCTGGATCTTCTTCACTCAAGTCAAGCAGGCCATCTAGCACGTCCATGCTTGGAACTCCAGATTTCCCGCTTTCCAACCTTTCATTGATCAGAATTTTGAACATCTCCAATATCTTACCAAAAAGAACAGTCATCCGGCACCTAACACCCTGGGGATCAAGCTTTCTGAGCACGGGGAAGAAATCAACAACATTAGGCCTGCCGGCCTCCACCATTACATCCCACACAACATTTTTGAATTCTTTTGCAGAATCAGCAAAAGGGTCGGTCAAATCCTTGGAGAAAATGATGTTGGACAGCAAATTCAGGGTCGTCCTGAAGGCAGCTTGTCCAATATCCACTGCCTCCCCTGATTGACAACTCTGTTTGCAGTAGGCAATTAGCTCATGAACCTTTTCAGATCTCAGTTGCTGATTGGCATCAAGTCGACTTGCTGAGAAGATATATGAATTTAGGATTTTGCGCAGAGTTCTCCACCTGGAGGCAACGGGCAGCCACACGACGGAATATTGGGCTTGACTATGGGCATGAAGCGAATCCGGCACTGATCTGGCGGAGAAATCCAAATCCTGTTTCTGGAGAACTTCTTTAGCTGCAGCTGAAGAAGAAATCACCACAGTTGTGACCTGTCCGAACTTTAGACTCATAACAGGACCGTGAACTTTGGCCAGCTTCGCCAGGGACTTGTGGGGATGATCGCCGAGTAAATGGAGGTTTCCGATGATCGGTAACCGTGTTGGTCCAGGAGGATGATTCTTGCCTTTCCTCGATGCAAGAGAAACAACCCATATGAAAGACAAAGGAAAGACAACCCATAGAAGAAGCACGAGGCTGTCCATCATTTCTTGGTCTCAAGATTCAGAGGCGGAACCCCGGAGACTTTTTACCTTTGAGCCTGCCCGGAGCTCTAACGCTTTTTGAATTGGTGCTTACCGAATCCACGTGGGTTGATGTTTAAGCTTTATGTTAGAATAGTGAGAACCAGATCATGAGATTTCTACTAATCTGTTTGGATGTTTTTAATAGTTTTTTTCAGAATTGTTTATTTATTAATGAATATCTAATCTTAACATACCATTTTACATTTTCAATACACTTTTTTTTAACATTCTCAATAGAATAAAACTTAAAAGTAATACATACTGAAAAAACTGTCCAAAAATAAAGGTTTCAAAGGCGATTGAAGCCACCTGAAATTAATTGGAAATCACTTTATTTTAAATTTAGGAATAACTAGTTAATCTTGCATTTGAAAACTGGTAAAGAAATTATGATGAGGTTGTAATTGAGTAACCTTACAATTGTGGTGAATAAATGAAATAGAACACAAAACAGGAATGGTTCACAATCCAATTTCATTCGGCATAAAATTAGTGTTAAATTGTTAACGAGGATTCTTTATTAAGCGTCTTTTACTACGGGTTGCAGTCAGGAAATCTTTCAAGCGCGGAAAGAAGCATACAGGCATGAAGTCTTTCTTAATTAATAATAGTGGTATCCCCTTCTCGAGTAGACCCTATCTATGCATCAGCCTAAGCACCAAGTAATTGAAATTTGTACTAAATAATAAAATGAAAGTCTAAACTTGCGGCCTTGCATAAAAAACAAAGTGAAAAACGAGGAGGAAGTTATTGTAACTTTTTTAAATGGCAAATTTTGATAGTTGGAACTTGGAAAATACTGTCGACATTAGTTTGGCTCCATGACATGTCATAGCTGAGACACGATCCACATGAACTATTCATTATTTTTAATACTGGATTTCCTTGCAGTATATGGGAAAAATAAATTTGAAAATATTTGATCACGTGGGTTGATGCTAAACAAATTACTGCAATGGTCAACTGACATCCAAGTTTTTTATGCCTTCCTCTTAAGTCCTTTTTATAGGCCACACGTTTTGGGTGAATAAGCCAAAGAAGTCTTAATCCAATCAAATGCCACAATCTTGTGAATCGTCCAAAACCATGCCTCTTTCAAAAGAAAAAACGAAAACAAAAAAAAATTAATCTACAACACTTCAGCGGCCACAGTATCTCCAAAACACTAGGACGCCCAATCATTGCTAGATTACGATATAATAGGGATTACAGATGTTCATTATGTGGTAATATAACCGTAAGGTTTTAACCTTCTTTAGTTTGTCTTGTAAAAACATGCTATCTTTTCCGAAAAATTACTATGATTCTCAGGTAGTCAGCGGATGTACAGTACGATTTTCTCATTTTCTTTAAGCTATTTTGACTTCCGGGGGCACAAAGTCACCCTTAGCTTGTTGAATGTTTAACAACAACGCATTTGACACTGGACTGAGCAGACTGGTGTTCGGAACTTGGGGTTGTTTGATCTATCCACTTCCGGCTACGTCATTGATGATCGATTATATATAGGTCTTTGGCAATTTATATGGTGGACAAGATTCACCATATATGATACACATGACAAATTTATATCTTCAGGTAATTTGATGATGTCACTTAGTCGGCTAATAATGAGTCTCATTCTTCCCTAGCAAATCCACGGCTATGGAGTACAATGTGGAGATGGACCGAGGGTGCCGCAATTTCATCGGCTAGCGTTCAAACTTCGCTTCATTAGTGTACCAAAAAAGCACGTTACATATCATATGCTTGTTTCCAGGCATATATATGTTAAAACTTATCAAAACACTTTTTCCTTTTGAAACCACGATTCCGTCATAAGAAACAATTTTATTCATTTTTTCGTTATAATGAGGTCATAGCATTTTTTTTGCAACCATATGGAAAAAGTCAACCGGATGGGTGTGCCTACATATATTTCATATGGAAAAAGTCAACCTTATCAAAAAGAACATAGGATGATTACAATGTGTGGCTTTCTGTGTCACATTATCGAAGCAATTGGAATTGGGACAGCACGGAGTGGCAATGCCTTCTGCAATGTGATTCCAAAATTTTCTGCCATGTCCAATGCTTCTGGCTCTATACCGCCTTCAAGTTCCCAATCGAACATATTTAGCAACGAGCCTAATACTGTAGGGATAGTCCGCAATGCCAATGACATTCCAGGACAAATTCTTCGTCCAGCTCCAAAAGGGATCAGCTCAAAATCTTGTCCCTTGACATCCACTTGAGATCCAGAGAATCTCTCAGGCTTAAACGCCAAAGGGTCCTCCCAAATTGTCTCATCCCGACCAATAGCCCAGGAATTCACCAAAACTTGTGAACCTTTAGGGACAATGTAGCCAAACAGCTCCACATCTCGCTCCACTTTGTGAGGAATCAAGAGTGGTACTGCTGGATGTATACGGAATGTTTCTTTAACTATGCATTGTAAGTAAGGCAACCGGGGCAAATCGGTTTCCTTGATTTGCTTCCCTCTCCCGACGACTTCCGCAAGCTCTGTTTGTGCTTTGTTTAAGATGTGTGGATTCCTGAGCAATTCTGCCATTGCCCACTCCAGTGTGCTAGAGGTTGTATCTGTTCCCGCAGCAAATAGGTCCTACAATTTTTATTCATGATTTTTTAGGAAATAAATTACCAAGAAGAAACAAAAATTCCGGTTGAATGAAATTGAAAGAAGTAGAAAAAAGATACTAACTATGAACATATGCTCCATGAATTTTCGGTCCATCTGATCTGGATCATCTTCAATTAAGGCTAGCATCCCATCTAGAACGTCCACGGCTGCGCCGCCAGAATTTCTCCTCTCCAATCTTTCATTAATCAGAGCATTGAGAATGTCAACCATCTTGCCAAAATGATTAGTCAAACGACGCCTAACACCCTGGGGATCAAACTTTCTAAGCACCGGGAAGAAATCAACGACATTAGGCCTACCAGACTCCACCATGATATCCCATACCACATTTTTGAATTCTTTTGCTGAATCAGAAAAAGGGTCGACCAAATCTTTGGAGAAGAAGATGTTGGACAGAGTGTTGAGGGATGTTCTGAATGCAGCTTGGCCGATATCCACCGCCTCCCCTGATTCGCAACTCTGCTCGCAGAACCCAATTAGCTCCTGAACCTTTTTACACCTTAGTTGCTGATTAGCATCAAGTCGGCTGGCTGAGAAGATGTAAGAGTTCATGATTCTGCGCAGATTTCTCCACTCGGAGGCAACGGGTAGCCATACCACGGAAAAGAGAGCATGGTTACGGGCCCAGGCGCAATCCGACACCGATCTGTTGGAAAATACCAGATCCTTCTTCTGAAGTACATCTTTTGCGGCAGCTGATGAAGAGATCACCACAGTTGATCTCCGCCCCAACTTCAGAATCATAACAGGACCATGAGTTTTGGCGAGTTTCGCCAGGGCCTTGTGGGGGTGTTCGCCGAGTAAATGGAGGTTTCCGATGATCGGCAGTGGCTTTGGGCCCGGAGGATGATTCTTGCCTCTTCTTTTTGTAAGAGAAATGTACCATATCAGAATCAAAGGAAAGACAACCCAAAGAACAACCATCAAAGTGTCCATTATTTTCTGTCTCCAACTCCGAGTCGGAAGCCAGAAGAATGGCAAATATTGGTTCGGCTGTGCAAGGTGCCTGGTTCGAGTCGCTTTTTAAATTGATTGGATTACGTTGAAAAATGCAATGATTGACTGATTGAAGTTTGAACTACAGGATAGCCGCCTCCGTTTATCATCCATTCGATGTATATACCCTTCTATAACATTTGTGTCTAGAGATACAATATAAACCATTTTCTTGAGTCTCCAATATATATTTTTGACGGTCATGCGATTTCGTCTTTAGTTTGCCACCTTATTTGACGTATCACACTCTGAGCGTTCAAAATTATTACTAAAAATAATTAGGGTTCAAATAGGTTAAATTTTTTTGTCGGTAGTTCTCCTTATTTATGTCTTTTCCACACGAGAAACTTATGGATATTTTTGGTAAGAAATGGCCAAGAAAATTGCAGATATTATTTCTAACCACAGGTCCTTGTCGGTTGCTCTATGTAGAGGGTTAAAAATGGTCCACAAAATTATAGGGGTCATTGTTTATTCTGTCGATTTTATTACTCGTCATTTCAGTAATTTAACAAATCAGTATCTTTTCCCATTGTGGACCTTAAAATTAAATGACTATAGGGCATGCGTAATTATAACCACTGTGAATTCTTACAATTGGAAAATAAATTATGAAAAAGTTATGAGTGAGTCATATTTAGTATTTTCTCATTTCGAAAAAAAATTGTTCACATTGAGTTTTGATTTTTCTTTTTTGTACAAATTTGAAAAATCAATGTGGAATATTTTTTCTGGTCCTAATCAATGTGGAATATTTTTTTAGGATCAGAAAAAATATTTCACATTAATTTTCCAATTTGTACTTTTAAAAAAAAATCCAATTTTGAAACATAAATTCTAAAGACTGGATTGTTTAATATTAGAAATTCAATAATTAAAGATGTGGTTTTATTAATAGACTCCACCAGAGAACTGCTTTAATTTGATGTATTAGGAATCTAAGAAAAAAAACGAACACTGATACAGTCAGTGTCATGTCTAATCAACAGTGGAATAACTATCAGATTTTATAAAGCGATCGGGATCGTTCGTAGAGGACGTGCCTTTTGCAATGTAATGCCAAACTTTTCCTCCATGTCTAGTTCTTCAGGCGCAATGTTGCCTTCAAGTTTCCAGTCAAATACATTTAGCAGGGAACCAAGTACGACGGGCATAATCCTTATCGCTAATGATAATCCAGGACAAATCCTTCGCCCCGCGCCAAAAGGAATCAGCTCAAAATGTCGGCCCCGGAAATCTATTTCCGAGTCGACGAATCGCTCAGGCTTGAATACCAAAGGGTCCTCCCAATTTGTCTCGTCACGCCCAATGGCCCATATATTTACTAGAGCTTGGGATCCTCTAGGAATGTTATAGCCAAACACCTCAACATCTCGTTCGACCCCGTAGGGGATCAAAAATGGAGCTGGTGGATGCATCCTTAAGGTTTCTTTCATGATGCATCGCAAATAAGGCAAGCTGGCGATGTCAGTTTCCTCTATTTGCTTTCCTCTTCCGATTACTTGTGCAAGTTCTGATTGGGCATTTTCTAAAGTATGTGGATTTTTGAGTAATTCTGACATAACCCACTCCAATGTCATTGAAGTTGTATCTGTCCCTGCAACATATAGATCCTGTAGTGTAGTTCATGATGAGTTAGGAAAACAATTGCTTGAACGAATGCAGACACAATATCACACGCGTTATTGATGTGTAAACATGGGAAGATATTTCGCACAAATTCATCTATGTAAAGATTTGAGTTCAGAGAAGTACTAGAGTATCTCCAATTTGGCTTCTTTCTCTTTGAGTTGGAACAAGTCAACGCGGGGTGCAGATTTTCAAACTGTCTTTAGAAAATGCACTATAGTCGTTTACCCAAAAAAATACTCCCTCCTTCCCATCCTTATCATAAGTCATCTTGATTTGTTTTAAGTTTAACTCAGTATACTTTTTCAATTGAGGAAAAAACTTAAACAATACTTTTTAAAAATTGGAAGAACACAACGAATGTGAAAATGTGTTTTAAGATTTTTTTTCTTCAATCGAAAAAGCATATTAGGTAAAACCTAAAACAAATTAAGATGACTTAAATAAGGACCGAAGGGAATAATTACCATACTCATCAAGTCACGATATTTCTTAGTAAATTTAACTCTATTCCCATCTTTTTGTGCATGTCTATATACAAATACTCTCCCTGTTTCAAAATTATTGTCCAGTTTAGATTTTTATTTTTAGTACGATTTTATACTAAAATTGAAATTTCAGACAGGACAATATTTTCAAGACGGAAGGAGTATAACTCTTCAAATTTATACATCACTAGAAATGAGAATATAGTTAAATTTATAAGTGGAATATCATTATTCTTCTGGTCATATTTTTAGAGATCGACCAACAAGATAAAAAAAAAAAAAAAAAAACATGGAAGGAACAAACTGAATTAAGAGCAAAAAACTAGCAAGAGAGAAAGTAAATCAAGTGGTCCATATTGTATTACTGTGATTGTAATTAAGTGGAAAGCTAAAAAACACTAACCAAAAATATGTGCTCAATCCCAGTTATGTCAATATCCTCTGGGGCCTCTTTACACAGAGCCAGTAGTTCATCTAGCACATCCATATGTATGTTTCCAGATCTCTTGCTATCCAATCTTTCTGTGATCAAACTTCTGAAAATCTTAAAAATATTATCCAGATGATTACTCATCCGACGCCTTAAGCCCTGAGGATCAAACTTCCTTAACACCGGGAATACGTCAACAATGTTTGGCTTAGCGGAATCAGCCAATATATCCCACACCACATCTTTGAATTCTTTTGCAGAATCCGTAAAAGGGTCGGTCAAATCTCTGGAGAAAATGATGTTGGACAGCAAATTCAGGGAAGTTCTAAATGCAGCTTCCCCGATATCCACCGCCTCCCCTGATTGAGACATCAATTTGCAGTAGCCAATTATGTCTTCAACCTTTTTAGATCTTATTTCCTGACTGGCGTCAAGCCGGCTGACGGAAAAGATGTGGGAGTTGATGATTTTTCGAAGACTTCTCCATTTTGAGTCCACCGCCGGTAGCCAAACCACGGATAACTGGGAATGGTTGTGGGCGTGGACGGCATCTGGCACCGATCTGCCGCAGAAAGCCAAATCGTGTTTTTGCAATACTTCTTTCGCAACAACCGAGGAAGAAATTACTATGGTTGTTATTGTCCCGAGCTTTAAACTCATAAGAGGGCCATGAGTTTTTGCGAGCTTTGCTAGTGACTTGTGTGGTTGGTCGCCGAGTAAATGGAGGTTTCCGATGATCGGCAAAGGTATTGGTCCAGGAGGAAGCTTTTTAGTCCTCCTTGATGCAAGACTGATGATCCAGATCAAAGGTGATAAAGCAAAGATTAGCGAAAGAACAACAATGCGGGCGTCCATTTGTTTTACTCTTCGCCTCACATTCTCAAACTCTCAAAAGTCTTGACGATAAAATGATCTACATTTATCAATCCTTAGCTTGGAAATAAGTAATATTTTTTTGACTTTGACTAACTTACGTATATATGTAGACTTTAAAATCATTATCTTCGTTTGACTCTGACTAACGTTTGTGGAATAATTAAATTGGTTTTAGGATCCTTGTCTCTCCTGTCCATCCTAAATCTAAATCAGTCGAAATAATGATTTCGGACATTGTACATAACAAAAGAAAGTACCTGATTATTAGTATGTAATTTCATTTCTCCCAAAATAAAATTCGAATATTTATAAAACTAAAAATAGTTTAATAAACATTCAACGTGAGTCTATCCGAATCAAATGTAAATTATCACATCCACAAAATAGAGTCCAAGTTAAGAAGCAAAGGGTAAGTGAATTGTTCTAGAATCTATAATTCTTCGAGATGAGTTTGATGGAAATTCAGGAAATCTTAGTATTCAATGAGAATTTATTGTCGGAGATTTATTTTCTCCCACGTCAAGTAATTAATGAGTATGTATTCCTTTTCTAGCTAGTCACTCAATTCCAAATATTTACTCACATTTTCTCAAAATACTAATGACTACTACTTCCCATTTTCTACATACATTTGCTTCTAAGCAGTGGCGAAGAATTAATGGACACGCTCATATTGGTGGTTCTATGGTTAATTTTTTCTTTATCTGGGATTTGGGTCATCAAATTTAATCTTGAATCAAGAAGAGGTAGAAATCATCCTCCAGGACCAAAACCTTTGCCGATCATCGGAAACCTCCATCAAGTTCGTAACCTGCCTCACAAATCACTAGCAAAGCTCGCCAAAATTCATGGCCCTGTTATGTATTTAGAGCTCGGGCAGTTAAACACATTGGTCATTTCTTCTTCAGCCGCCGCCAAACAGGTTCTCCAGAAACAGGATTTGGTTTTCTCCAGGAAATCGCTGCCGGAAGCCCTCCTCGCCCGCAATCATGTCCAGCATTCCGTTGTGTTTCTGGCCGCCGATTCCAATTGGAGAAATCTTCGCAGAATCCTGCATTCTTACCTCTTCTCCGCTAATCGACTTCATTTTAGTCAGCAAATAAGGTACAGAAGGGTTCAGGATCTCATTGACTACTGTAAACATTGTAGTAAATCCGGGGCCGCAATTGAATTCCGTCAATCTGGCTTCAAAACTTTCCTGAATTTGTTGTCTAACATGTTATTCTCCAAGGATTTGACGGACCCATTTACCGATTATGTCGAAGAATTCGCCCGTGTATTGTTGGATATCATTTATGAATCCAGTCGGCCCAATGTGGTTCAAATCTTCCCAGTGCTTAGAAAGATTGATCCTCAGGGCATCCGGCATCGTACGACGAATCATATAGATAAGATTTTTGAGGTGTTTGAAGGTCTAATCAGTGAAAGAATTGAGAGCAGGAAATCTGGAAGCCCGGGTATAGATTTTCTTGATGATCTCTTATCTTTATGTGAAGAATCACCTGAGGAGATTGACATCAAGCTGATTCAGCATCTGTTCTTGGTTGGTAGCCTTCTTATAATTTCAATCAAATTAATTATTTTATCTGAGCATTTCAGTCCATCCAGATTTGTCTTCAGTTATTTACCGATTTCTACCATGTCAATTTGTTTCCATAATAATAGTCCATTTTCTTTATGTATGTTATTAAAAATAGATTTCTGAAATCCTAATCTCCTTAGAGATTGTGAATTTGTGATAAGATAGATAAATGAACGCACTCTGTCGGTTACATTAAATGAGTCAATTTTGAAGTTATCGTTGGCACTCTGAAAAAGTATGCAAATAGCAGAGGCGGCTCTACATGTTTTGAGGCCTAAAGCAAATTTTAAATTTGAGGCTTTTTTTTTTTAAAAAAAAAAAATTATATATTAGCATTTAAAAAATATGTTGGTTGCTAACCAAACACAACCCTCCTTTTTTATAGGGGCTTGGGACCGGCAACTATAAACAAAAGTTTATGGTATGCGGAGTTAAACTTCTTTTTTTGGAGATTTTTTAATTTTTTAGAATTATTGTTTTTATATGAATTTTTTCCGTCTAGCTTTTATAGATGCAAATTCTTTAATAAAAGTTTCATACTCAATTTCCTGTGTTAAATCTTGTTTAATTGATAAAGCCGCGTCACTACCGTTTTGGCGCACAAGACATGAAAACAATTGTCCTTTTTGACTTTTTCCTAACTTACAAACAAAGCTCCCATTAATTTTATTTCCTAAACTATTAACATTTCAAAACAAATATAAAATCAATTAATCAAATACTAAATAACCCCAATAATCACTTAGACAGTATCACTTCCACCTATTTATTATCACTATTTTCACTCAACATGACTAACAAAAAAAAAACTAATTAAACATAAAAAACTAAGTATTACCTGATTTTTTTTTTTTTTTTTTTGCCACTTGAAGAAGTATTTGTAGATCAAACTAAAACAAGGGGAAAAGAGAGAGAGAGAGAGAGAGAGAGAGAGAGAGAGAGAGAGAGAGTTTTGGGGGGTTCGGAGATTATTGAGGAGAAGAAAATTAGTAAATATGGTAATTAGAAATAAGACGGGGAGGATTTTTAAAAGTAGAATTCTAAAGTAGTTAGGAAACTTACGCCTCTTTTCATCTTCCCAGGCGTCTCTTCATTTTTTTAATGGTTCACTTAAATTTTAATATTCATAGCTATCCAATTAAATGTTGAGATAATTTAATTATATAATTTTTTTTTTTTAGTAAACACCTAATATTTTGGGGCCCTCCAAAATTTGGGGCCTTCAGCTTCCCCCTAAAGCCGCCTCTGGCAAATAGATATATAATCATCATTGGTGATACTATTAATTCGTAACAAATGGTATGGAATTGGCACATATTGCAGGATCTATTTCTAGCGGGAACAGATACAACTTCAACTACATTAGAGTGGGTAATGACAGAACTGCTCAGAAATCCACGGACGTTAAAGAAAGCCCAATCAGAGCTCGCTGAAACAGTTGGGAGAGGGAAACAAATTGAGGAAGCCGATCAGGCTCGCTTGCCTTACCTACAATGCGTATTGAAAGAAACCTTAAGGATGCATCCTGCCGTGCCATTATTGGTTCCTCGCGAAGTGGCGCGAGGCATCGGCTTACTTGGTTTCGTTGTTCCAAAAAGATCACAAGTATTAATCAACGCGTGGACCATTGGTCGCGATGAAAACGTTTGGGACGATCCCTTGGTGTTTAAGCCGGAGAGGTTCTTGGAATCTAAAATAGATATCCCGGGACGGGATTTTCAGATGATCCCTTTTGGAGGTGGGCGAAGAATGTGTGCTGGAATGTCATTGGCAGTAAGGATGATTCCGCTAGTGCTGGGTTCGCTTCTAAATGTATTCAACTGGGAACTTGAAGGAGGTATTTTGCCCGAAGAGTTAGACATGGAGGAGAAGTTTGGTTTTACGTTGCATAAGGCACATCCCTTGCGAGCTATTCCTATCGCGCATCCCGTTGAAACATTCTAAAATGCCAAAGAGGAACTTTTCCTATCAGTTCTTCGTGGTATACTTAAAGCCAATAGCTGGTTTTACTTTATTTACTCAATTTCTATCCTTAATATAAAATACCTTTCATTTGTTTCTAAACACGTGAGTTCAGATCAAGAAGTGATCATCAACATATACAATTCTATTTGGCTTGTTCTTTGCATGTGATAAATATAAAAATAATGACGGACTACATTATATTTCGAGTTTTGGCCCAATCTACCTTAATCTCCCGAGTTTTGGTAATAATGCTATACCCCTCAACTCATAGTCGACCAACCAAATACTCCCTTACCATATTAACACCATATTTTTTTTTCCCTAAAAGATCAAAAGATACCCTTCAATCTGTATTTTTAAACTCATATAATATATATATATATATATATTTACAAAAAATATATATCATAAACTAAGTTAAGAAAATGCTCCATATTACTTCTTTTGTGTTAATGCACTTAAATTTTTTTCAAAATTACCTATATCATGCACTTATTTTTCTTTTTGAATCCTAATAAACTTATATTATGAATCATGGATTAACTTTCATTTATTAACTTGTCATGATTAACTGTGAAAATGAAAAATTAACTAATTTTCATTTTTAAAGGTCAAAAAAAAAAAAGAAAAAGCATACCAAAAAAAAAAAGAGAAAAGAAAATGAAATACATGTAAACCATGGTCATTTTAGTCATTTCAATGTTTACCTCTACTCGTGAGGTATGGTGGTAGTATTGCCAAAACTCAGAGAGTTTATTGTAAATATCGCGCAAAAATTTGGGAGGTAAAATGTAGTTCGCTCTGAAAATAATTAACTATATCAAAAGTCTAATGAAGTCATCGCTCTAACTTAACAACATCTTCTGTAATCCTCCTCCTAATAAGTGTTTTCTTTCATGAACTAAAATAGTACTTCCTCTCTCACACAAAGTTAATTCATACTATGGAGTACATTAAATACAATTCTTGCTTTGGCGCGAGGAATACCAAAAAGAGGTTGTGGAGCTATTGTGAGCAACGATTCTGGTTGTATAGTTGTGGTAGGATCTAAATTTGTTGAAAGTGCAACGAGTTTCGAGGTAGAAGTTTAGGCTCTTTTGATGGGATTCATTGTGTTTGAGCAACATCTCACAAAATGAAGTTGAATCAGTCTCCAAATTATTGTTGCAGACTATATTCAAGAGGGAGAAATGGTAATGGAAACTTAGGGCTGAATTTGAAGAAACAACCACTCAAATTCAACAATGCTCATCCATATGTTCTCGCCATTTTTATAGAGAAATCAATTCAGTTGCCGATGGACTAGCCAATTGGGGGAGCAAAAAACAAATACAGATGCAATTCGCCCCTTCTACTCAACCACGAAGATTGAAAGGATTAGTTCCACTAGATCAACGTTCGATGCCATATATTCGAACCAGTAAACGTTAATATGACATTTCGTGTTTGACGGTTGGAGAAAGTCTTATACAGCTCCCAGGGTGTTGTCCCTGTCAAAAAAAAAAAAAAAAAGAGGTTGTACTAAAAAAGTGTAAAAAATATCAAATGCGACACTAATAGTACTCGATGAACGATATTCTGCCGTTTGATTTGCGAAACCAGTTGACCTTTTCATGTGTAATTGACATTTCTATGAGTTGATTAATAATTAGTTATAGATACTAGTAGTATTTTTCAAAATCTAAATATTGTTGTCGTGGTATATTTTATTAAGAAGTCAACCGACGTGGGATAGAACTAACAGCACGTCACAAACTCTATGCTTAATTCTGGGCTGTGGCTAAGAATTTGAGACAAAGAATATGGAGACTCTCACACTGTTTGTTGTTTGGTTGTTTTTCTCTTTATCCTGGATTTGGTTCATAAGTTTTGCATCAAGAAGGAGAGGGAAAAAACCTCCTCCAGGTCCGGCAACATTGCCGATCATCGGAAACCTCCATTTACTAAGCCAACTTCCGCATCAGTCCATTGCGAAGCTCGCCGAAACTCATGGCCCTTTAATGAGACTAATGTTCGGGCAATTAACTACCGTGGTGGTTTGTTCTTCAGCCGTCGCCAAAGAAATCTTCCAGAAAAAAAGATCTTGCTTTCTCTAGCAGATCAGCGCCTGATTCTCTCCACGCTCACAAGCATTACCAGCATTCCGTGGTGTTTCTGCCCGCAACCGACAAGAATTGGAGATTTCTTCGCAGAATCCTCAACTCTTATATCTTCTCGGGTAACCGGCTTGATTTTAATCTGCATTTGAGGTGTAGAAAGGTACAAGATCTCATTTCCTACTGCTCAGAGCGTTCTCAATCAGGGGAAGCAGTGGCAATACACGAAGCTGCGTTTAAGACTTTCCTGAACCTGCTGTCCAACATGTTCTTCTCCAGAGATTTGACTGACATTTTTAGCGATTCGGAAGATGATTTTATCCGCGTACTGTCGGATATCATTGTCGATTCTGCTAGGCCCAACGGTGTTGATGTCTTCCCTTTGCTTAGGAGGTTTGATCCTCAGGGCATTAGGCATCGTATGACGAATAATATTAACAAGATTTTTGAGATGTTCAGGGGTCTGATCAGTGAAAGATTCGAGAGCAGGAAATCTGGCAGTTTAGACATGGATGTGCTTGATGAATTGCTGGCTCTTTGTGAAGAAGCTCCAGATGAAGTGGATAGAAATTTGATAGAGCACACATTCTTGATTAGTATTCTTTGATTAGACTCATTATAGACTGCATTTCATCCTGACATCAATTTATAATGAAAATTCATGTCATGGATTTGTTGATTTTTAAACTCATAGCAAAATGCACTGCAAAAAGATACTGATCAATGGTGGTACTTTTCTTACAACAAATGAATTTATACATACTGCAGGACCTATTTCTTGCGGGAACAGAAACAACTTCAAGTACATTAGAGTGGGCGATGGCAGAATTGCTCAAAAATCCATGGACGTTGAAGAAAGTCCAAGAGGAGCTCGCAGAAACAGTCGGGAGAGGGAAACAAATAGAGGAAACCGATTTGGCTCACTTGCCTTACTTGCATTGCGTCCTGAAAGAAACCTTAAGGCTGCATCCGCCTGTTCCATTCTTGGTTCCTCGAAAAGTGGAGCGAGATGTTGAGTTGCTTGGATACATTGTTCCCAGTGGATCACAAGTTCTAATTAATGCATGGGCCATCGGCCGAGAAGAGGGAACTTGGGAGGACGCGGTTGTGTTTAATCCCGATAGGTTCTTGGAATCTAAAATAGATATCCCTGGACGAGATTTTCAACTGTTATCTTTCGGGGCAGGGCGAAGAATTTGTCCTGGTTTGTCATTGGCGGTGAGGATGATTCCACTGGTACTAGGTTCATTGATAAATGTATTCAACTGGAAACTTGAAGGTGAGATTGTGCCAGAAGAGTTAGACATGGAAGAAAAGTTTGGTTTTACATTGCAAAAGGTGCAGGCGCTGCTAGCTGTACCTATTGCTATTACATAGAGTCCCTCATGACCAAGTGCTGATAGTATTTTGAGTTCACAATCACAGGTTGATGTGTAGCAATTATGTTTGTTGGAATAAAAATTATCTTTGGGGAACAAACGTGCGACATTGTAAAATTGGATTCTCGTATTGTTGTGTCTCACGCCACCTAGAAACAGGATTCTTATGACATAAATGATTTGCATTGTAGCTAGGTGAAGATTTTCATTTGCGTTCTCTCTGTGAATTTTATAGCTTATTATTTCAGTTGTTGCCTGAATCATTCAGTTGAAAGTAAACATTTTATTATAAGGTGCATCGAAGCATAAATTACATTATTATGCGCAATCAAGAGTGGCTCCGGTTACCCACTCTTGGAGTTGGAAGTACAACAATAACAACAAATTTATGATAACATCACGCCATATGCAGCTTTAGGTTCAAATGCAGATAGATTCATATCTTAAGGCCAACAGGCACAGCTCGTAGAGGCCTTGCCTTTTGTAGTGTAATGCCAAACTTCTCGTCAAGATCTAATTCTTCTCGCTTAATGCCGCCTTCAAGTTTCCAGTCGAACATATTTATCAACGAACCGATCATTACAGGAACTGCCCTTACCGCCAACGACAATCCAGGACAAGTTCTTCGTCCTGCTCCAAATGGGATCAAATCAAAATCTCTTCCCCGGATATCTATATCTGATCCAACGAACCTCTCGGGCTTGAACACTGAAGCGTCCTCCCAAGCCGTTTCATCCCGCCCAATAGCCCATACATTGACTAAAACTCGTGATCCTCCCGGCAGGATGTAGTCGAAAATCTTAACATCTTTCTCCACTTTGCGGATCAAGAATGGAACTGCCGGATGGAGTCTCATGGTTTCTTTCACTACGCATTGCAAGTAAGGCAATCGGGCTATATCACTTTCCTCTAACTTCTTCCCTCTTCCAATTACTTCTTCAAGCTCCGCTTGAGCTTTCTTTAAAACTTTAGGATTTTTTAGTAACTGCGCCATTCCCCACTCCACGGTATTTGAAGTTGTATCCGTCCCGGCAATAAACATGTCCTGCAAAGTTGTTCATGTAGCTCCAATTAATCAGTACTCCTGGTATTAATTGTGCATAAATTACTTACTATATGAGATTAAGCACTGAAAATTTCTCGCAATGAATAACCTCTGAGTTCATTCAAGTAGATATTAGCAGAGCTGACTGCAATTTGGTTTTTAATTCTTTCATCTTGTTGTCTGAAGTTAAAAGTACTGTACTCTAACAAACTGCAACAAGCATTATTTGAGAAAATAAACAGAGCTGAATCACAAACCAAAACAAGCAAGAAGTAAATAATGAAGAATACTAACCAAGAACAAGTGTTCGATCAAATCTCGGTCAACCTCCTCTGGAGTTTCTTTACATAAAGAGAGCAGGTCATCTAGCACATCAATGTTTGAGCCTCCAGATTTCTTGCTCTCTACTCTTTCACTGATCAGAGCTCTCATTATCTCAAAAATCTTAGTATAATGAACAGCCATTCGACGCCTAACGCTCTGCGGATCGAGCTTTCTGAGCACAGGGAAAAAATCAACCAAGTTAGGCCTGGTGGCCTCCACCATGACATCCCACACAACATTTTTGAATTCTTTTGCTGAATCAGACAAAGGGTCAGCCAAATCTTTGGAGAATATAACATTGGACAGGAAATTCATGGAAGTCCTGAAAGCAGCTCTGCCGATATCCACAGCCTCCCCTGTTTGACGACTCTGTTCACAATACGCGATAAGATCCTCAACCTTTTTGGATCTTAGCTGCTGATTACCATCAAGCCGGCTGGCTGAGAAGATGTAAGTGTTCATGATTCGACGGAGAGTTCTCCATTTGGTCGGAACCGGTAGCCAAACCACAGAGTAGTCGTGATGGTCGAGGGCTGTGATTCCGTCCGGCACTGATCTGCTGGAGAAATTCAAATCTTGCTTCTGGATTGCTTCTTTTGCAATGGCTGAAGATGAAATTACAATGGTGGTTACCTGCCCGAACTTCAAACTCATAAGGGGGCCATGAGTTTTGGCAAGCTTGGCTAAGGACTGGTTGGGCAGATTGCCGACTAAATGAAGGTTTCCGATGATCGGCAACGGCGTCGGCCCTGGTGGATTATGCTTGTTGACTCTTTTTGATACGAGCCTCATCATTGCCGAGAGTAAAGTCAAAGGGAAAAGGAACCAGAGAACAGCCATGAAACCATCCATTCTTTTGTCCCGATTCCCTACTAATCTTTCTTTTATTGTTCTCTATATTGGCAAGAAATTAGATCTTCACGTCCAAATCTCCAGTCTTGTCTAATTATTGTAGTTTCGTCTATCTCCATCACTTACCCTATTGCAAATTATTTTCAATAATTCAGCTGAGTCTACGAAAAAGAAAAACCAAAAAAATCAACCACGTATCCAAAAATATTTGAGACTTAAACCTTTAATGCTCATCTACGGTATCCAAACATTTATATATTCATTCTGTTCTAAAATAATTGATTATTCAGTGTAAATTTTTATTTTTAATACTATAATTTCGAGACGGCAAGTATTAAATTTATGGTTTCCAGTTTTTCCATTCGATATTTTTGGTGATGTTTCCAAGTTGATGACATTTCGTATGGGAGTGATGGAAGAAGGCCATGAATCACGATTTTGCCGACGTAAGATTGTGTCGTTGTTTGTATCAGTAGGTTGGCCATGAATCATTATGATAGCTATCTCCCAAAGGAGACATAGCTCGAACTAAAATCAATTAAGATAATGATTTTCAAAATAATTTATATATCCACAAAAGATGGCCAATTGGCCATGAATCATGATTCTCGCCCTTTGTTGAAAGATTGTATGTTCTGGACCTCAGGGAGTCAGGGTAGGTAATTTAATATTATGGACAGAGAAAAAGAAAATGATGGTCCATGTGAGTCCAACGAGTGGCAAAATGTCCATTTAACCACACAGGCACACAACTTTGTATTAATGTTACGTTGTCAAGTTTATTCTAGTAGCAGACTAGCAGATAGCTGAACTTCCAAAATGTAGCACCATGGGTGTGAGCAGATAATTTCTGATTTTCTGGTATAGTTCTTTCTTTTGATTCACCTTTTCTTTTTAAAAGAAGGAAGTACGGATGAAAATGTAGAGCCAAAGAATAAAATACTAAGACAAATTTTCTTTTCCCCGCAGAAACTTAGACATAAAATTTGACCATCTATATGTGACTATATGGGATTATTGTTCGACCCATTTAATGTTAAGAAATCAAACTCAAATTAAAATAATATGACATTCTCTTAGTCTCAAAATAATTGTTACTTTACTTTTACTTTTAATATAAATTATTGTCGAACGAAGATGATTTTCCCTGTAAAGTAAACATATCCACTGCCACTAGTCTGAATTTTTTTATTTTTAAACCTTTTAGCATTCAGTAGTTTTTTTTTTTTTTTGTTTTTGTGTGTGTGTGTGTAATGGTAGAAATTTTGTTAATCCTTTCATTTTGTGATATGTTTCCTTAAAAAAAGGACATTTGCACGGGAGCCTCCCTGTTCCACCAGAAGAAAGCTTCAACTGTTGATGAGCAATCATGACTAAGTCTAACATATAGTTATGCCTTTAGTAGCACTAAATTTCTTAGAAAACAAGTGGAATTGCTCGCAAGGGATGTGCCTTCTGCAATGTAATCCCAAACTTCTCTTCCATGTCCAACTCCTCCGGCCTAATATCACCTTCTAGTTTCCAATCGAAGACATTTAAAAGCGTACCCAACATCACATGAACTATCCTTATTGCCAATGACATTCCGGGACAGATCCTTCTCCCAGCACCAAACGGTATTAGCTCGAAATCTCGCCCCCGAATATCTATTCCAGATTCAAGGAACCTCTCTGGCTTAAACACCAATGCATCCTCCCAAATTGTATCGTCGCGGCCAATTGCCCAGGCATTCACTAGAACTTGTGATCCTGCTGGAATAGTGTAGCCACACAACTCGACATCTCGCTCCACTTTGCGAGGAATCAAGAATGGCGCGGGCGGATGCATTCTTAAGGTTTCTTTCAACACGCATTGCAAGTAAGGCAAATTAGCCAGATCAGTTTCCGCTATTTGCTTCTTTCTCCCGACTACTTTTGCCAGCTCTGCTTGAGCTTTCTCTAAAGCTCGGGGATTTCTGAGCAATTCTGCCATTGCCCACTCCACAGTAATTGAAGTTGTATCTGTTCCAGCCCCAAATAGGTCCTGCATAATAATTGGCATAAATTTTGATATCGATAATTGCATTAATTCCCAATTAAAACAAAAAGGAAAAAATGAATACAAACCAGGAACATGTGCTCTATCAGATTCCTATCCATCTCATGTTGATTTTCTTCACTTAAACTAAGTAGGTCCTCGAGCAAATCCTTGGTTGCACCTCCAGATTTCCTGCTTTCCAGTCTTTCTGCGGTTAGGCCTCGAAACAGCTCAAACACCTTATTGTTATGAGCAGTCATACGTCTCCTGACGCCCTGAGGATCAACCTTTTTAAGAATAGGGAAGAAGTCAACCACATTAGGCCGGGCAGCCTCCCCCATGAGTTGCCACACCAAGTCCTTGAATTCTTTTGTGGAATCAGTAAAAGGGTCTGCGAAATCCTTGGAGAACATGATGTTGGACAGCAAGTTCAGGGAAGTTGTAAAGGCGGCTCTGCCGATATCCACAGCTTTACCTGATAGACGATTCTTGTCGCAATAGGCAACGAGATCCTGAATCTTTTCGGATCTTAGTTTCTGATTAGCATCAATTCGGTTGCCTGAAAAGATGTAGGTGTTCATGATCCTTCGGAGACTTCTCCATTTGGATGCAACAGGCAGCCACACAACAGAGTATTGGTAGTGGTTTTGGGCATGCATCGAATCAGGCGCCGACCTGCTGCTGAATTCCAAATCTTGTTTTTGGAGAACTTCTTTGGCAATTACTGAAGACGAGACGACCACAGTTGTTATCTGCCCGAACTTTAAACTCATTATAGGACCATGAGTTTTGGCGAGCTTTTCTATGGATTTATGGGGTTGGGCACCTAATAAATGGAGGTTTCCGATGATTGGGAAGGGAACTGGTCCTGGAGGATACCTTTTACCCTTTCCTGTTGTAAGGCTAATGACCCAGATCAATAACAAAGGAAAGATTAACCAAAGAAAAACAGCCATGAAGGTATCCATTTCTGTAATTCCTCCCGATCTGTGCCTGGTATATTCACAACTTTTTCATACGCTTACTTATATAACTTGTTTTTCCTTGGAGTTTGTTACCGAAAAAATTATTAAAGGAAGAACCTGGACAAAAACAATATGGAGAAAGTCTAAGTGGACAGAAATGGTTATTGCGGATTTGGTAAATCTGAGGAAATAATAGCAGTAGGATTACCGAAATCCGAAACAACATGAAGTTGGATTTGTGTAATCTGAATCGTCAGTAACCAAAAATTACTTAAATTTAATTAAAGGATTAAATAAAGAATCAGATTTATGAAATCCGAAACAATTCAATAAAAAAATAATTTTATTTTTGGAAAAAAATGTAAGCATTAGAATATAAAAGTTGGCTAAAGACGGATTACCGTAATCCAAGAGAACACCTTTCGGATTACCGTAATCCGTCATTAAACAATAAAATATATTTTATTTTTTGGAAGAAAAAATCTAAGCGTCTGAAAGGGAAGCGAATCGGATTACCGAAATCCGAGAGAAGCCCCTTCGGATTTTTTTAATCCGAGTCTACCTTGTTTCTCTGAGAAAATGCAACTCTCGGGTGCTTTTTCTGCACCGACTTTCGGATTTTGGAAATCCGAAACAACTACTTTCGGATTTGGCAAATCCGGGTCATTCTCTTTCATCATTTAATTTCTCATACCATGCTTTCAAATATAATAGAAATAATATTCTAATAATTTTGTAAATGTTTCTTCTATTCATAATTACTAACTCTGGGAACAATTTAAATTTAATAAAAAATCATAAAATTTTGATATATATGTTATGAAAAATATTATTATAACTCATGAATTTTTCATAGAATGAGTATGAACTATGAATATAAAGATTTTTAAATATTTTATTAATAATTTTATTTTCTTTGTATAAAAATTTACATAATTCTCATGAACATTATTTTACATGGGTATGAGTATAGACTGCTTATTTTCATTAATCTTTCAATTCTCTGAAAACAATTGTGAAATTTGGATATACATGATATGATATGAAAAGTATCGTTGTTATTCATGAATATTTCAGGAAAAGAGTATGAACATTTATGATACATATGATTAATTTATTAAAATTTCTCTAATTTGTATGAACATTTAGTATAATCTTCATGAATATTCATAGTTTTATGTATGAACAGAAGATTAAAGATATGGCAACCTTTAATTTGTAATTATGTGTACAACTTTTTAGTTAAAAGATATGATTTTTTTTTATATATTTGATATTAAAAATATGTTTATCATTCATGAATTTTCGATTATATGATTATGAACCTTTAGTTTTTGTATGAATAGAAGTATATTAATAAATAAATATTTCTTCTTTTTTGAATTTTTTTTGTAATTACGTAATTGGTTTGAATATGTGATATATGATATTAAATATGAAAAGAGGATTGACTAATTTAATACTACTAGTTCTGTTCCGGTCGTGCGTTGCGCGACCAGTGCTTCTTCAAATTAGACATATTTGTTCTTGTTTAAATACTTTCAATACTTTAAATATTCCCAATAATGTGTTTTCTTGCATAAAATATAATAGATAGGTATAAATATTCTCTATATTATCTTTTTCATGCATACTCAATAATGTTTAAGGCTCCGTTTGGTTAGATTGAATTGCAATTGAATTATAATTACAATACTATTGAATTAAAAATAAGATATTAATATTATAATTCAATCTCAATTCCTTTATTTGGGAGATCTTGAAAATTTACTAGAATTAAGGTTCTGATTCTAATTTTTGTATTTGGATGCATAAAAATTTGGATACTTTAGAATTGAAATTAGTTTGTTATTGTATAACTAATACTAGTACATTTATACTTCTCGTCAAAAACTAAAAAAAAAAAAAATTAATTTATTATGGATATGTATAACACAAAAACATAAATAAATTCATTATGTACATGTATATTTGACTACTTTGTGGTTGTTTAACTAATACAATATTTACTTTTTTTGTTAAAACAAATTATTATTTTTGATTAATACACTATATCAATTATGTTTTATTATGTACACACATTTTTATTGGAAACAAAAGAAATATTATTACGTATAAGAATTATTAATATGATACTTAAAATTCTCACTTAATACACAGACAAGTAACACGTAAAACATCCTTGTTTTCCTCTCTTTTATTATTTTTCAAAATTTTTAATTTT